TTTTAGAACTTTTCCCAATAAATCCAGAAGTTTTAATTGTTTGTAGTTTTCCTCCAATTTCCCCTGATAGCATGTGAGTTATGGGAAGCAGGTTCATTATCCAGTTCAGTGAGTTATCATCTCCACAGACACTGCAAGTGTGATTGCAGGTTTTTCAGCCTTCATGTAATCGTTACTCCTCTTTTTCATGACAGAGATTAATTACGGCTGGCAGCGCCACCAGGGTGGGCATCTACATAATCAAGGCCATTGTCATCTATTCTTAGTGCCATAACCCAGACTGCCATCTCACAGGCTTCTCCATGAATACAAAGCAAATGAAATGGTGAAAATTAGGACGATTATGACATAAACGGCACTGTATTTGATTTCAAATACGATTACTTGACGTTAATGTCACCTATCGACACTGGTAATGAATTAGGTAAAGTTTCATGAGTACTAAAGACTTTGTTTAAGCAGTTTTGAAGCAGCTTATTTAAAGTTTCAGTTATTTTTTTAAGAACTCAAAGGCTCGTTCTTTTAAACCTATACTTCGATTAGATGCAAAACATTGTAAGCAATTTGGTGGTGACATGAGTTAAGCAACCTCGTTGTGAGGTTTCACAATAGAGCACAGCACAATACCTAAAAAACATAATGGCTGTGGCTATGGTAACCCAAAGGGAAATATGTTACTTGCAATGGTTTATAACCATAGTGAGATGCAATTTGCACTTTACTGCTGAAACAGGCCATGATTGATGTAATCACATACAACCCATCACAACATGAAGTCACAAAGTGTTTTTTAAAATCGTTTTGGAAAAGCATTCATGAGGAAAAAATGCACAGATTGACACTTGACATCTCTCAGGCAACTTAAAAAAAAAAGAAAAAGATTTCTGCTTAAAATGATTCTGCTTGTTCAGTCTGTATTCTTCATTGCTTTCCTCTTCCCTTTACTTAATGCTCTAATATCTGCTTAAAAGGCGTGCTACTAATGTCAACAGCAAAACTCCCATTAACACCAGCATTTCCTGGCTTCAGATAAAGCACTTGCCATCAGCACTATAACAAACAGAACTGCTAGCTGGTACCTCCCAAGTTATTAGTTTGAGACGAGCAAATCTAGCTATTTGCCATTCTACATAAAATATCCGCCGAAGCACTGTCAGTTTATTAAAACTTCAGAATTCACCCATTGTACGGCCAGTCCTCAGGGTTTGGCCTCTTCTTTCGTTTCTCACCTCCAATCAGCTGCATGATATCACACCTGGACACTCTGCAGAAGATTAGGCAATTTGAACAAAGAATCATTATGACCAAGAGAGAAGAGGAAGAAAAAAAAAAAGCAAAAGATCATGATGAACAGAAACAGAACTTCTGTAATTGCAAATTAAGACATGTCAGATAGAATTAAAAGTCACTTGAGTTTCTTATCAATACCAAATTCTAAGAAATCCTACTAGCAAGCCAACTTTGAATGCCTTACTTGCACAAAACACGCAAACTCCTACTTTCAGTGTCCAGTTTTGGACAAGCTTGTATTTTTGACCATCACCACTTGCCCTCCATCCCCAGCACAGAGCAGTTCAGTACTGGTTTTATTTGGAGTCGGGTATTATTAGGAAGGTAATGGAGTTACAGGAAATCTCATGTCATGTCCAGTGCAGTCCTTACTCCTGAGCATAAGAAAAAGCAGCTATTGTGCAAATACTTGCTTTTACATTCAGCTACTGCCTTGGGCAAAATCCATCATCAATATTTCTGCGAATAAGAATGATTCTACACATATCTGCCTATCTTAAATTGTGTATCTTACAATGCTTGCCATCTCTTGTTAATTCACGTATGCCGTTTGTCCAGAATTTCCTCAAGAAATTACTATGAAAAGATCCAGCTAAGACCATAACAGTTTCCCCAAACTTCTTTGTAGATGTGTTCTTGCTCTTTGGATAATTACTATCTCAACAAGATTTGACAATAAGCATAGACTTTATTTGGGTAATTTAAGGACTTCATAAATGGTGAAGCGGTTTTAGTGTCTTGGTTCACTTACAAGTGAAAGCCATGAACACAGAAAACTCTTACTAAGCTCAATTTTATTCCTGTCTGAAAATTGCCCATGAAGAGTTAGCAGGATTCTCAAAGATGCTCATGAGCTGCAGGGCCTGCCTGGCCACGAGCAGCTCCTCGAGGGCCGGCTACGAGCACTCACGAGCGCGTGCAGGTCAGCTCCCGGCCAGGCTCCTTCCACCTGCGTGACCAGTCTGTCCCACACAGCATGCGCTGCGCAGAGCTCCAGGAGGCACACAGCTCTGGGGCACAACGTGGCAGCATTATGTGAAATATTTGCACAAATATTGAAAGGCCAAACAAATTGAAGCGACATACCTACGCTTCTCAATTCCCTCCCATTCTGAGTCTGTAAGGAATGAGACATCAGTCTTGGAGGGGCCAGCAGGCACTGAACTGGGGTGGCAGAGCAAGACTCCCCTCCGCCACTGCAAGCTGGTGGTTCCACCATTTGCAAATTTGTTTGCTTTGCTTTCTGCCAACTCTGCTTTTGGTCTATAGACCAAAAAATCTTTTGAAGAAGAAATACAAACTTTAATCTTCCACATCACAGCAGAATGAGAAGAGCAGAGCTATTTCTGCTGTTTTGTGATGAACCAAATTTTTCTCTAGATAAAAAATAGAGGAACTTTAAAAAAACAAACAAACAAAACCCCTTACTTTAGGACACAAAAATTTGAGGTCCAGTCTAAGAATTATTCATTCTGGACAAACAGCATCTGCAGATTTAATAACAGACCAAAAAATCCCTTCCAGTCATGTGGAATCTCTTATCTAAATGGGTGAAGGCCTGTGCTGTTTCTAATCCTTTTGGAGCACAAAACATCACACATCACAGCCATGATGTACCATGTAACATTACACAGCCACATAATTTTGAAGCCTGTAAGATGCACTGGTTACAATTTTCCTTTCCCTTGCGCATCTGCACAGTATGTATGGTAACTAAGGCACCTACCTCTAGTAAGGAAAAGATGCAGAAAAACATAAAAGCAATATAGTTTCCTAGACTAGTTTATTATATGGCAGATATTAGCAGCATAAAGGTTTTACAAATACTTCAGTCCATTAAATACATTGATCTACACAGCTCACACTCTAACACGTGACTGAGAAATTTCATTACCACAGCCTTCCAGGCATATTGTTTTTGCTACTCTATGACATTTCACACACACTTTTTTCCCTGCTGCAGTTTCCAGTATCAGAGTTTCACAATGCAGTCAGGAGAAAAAACAACAACAGAAAACCAACCCTCACCAGGTCAAGGATTTTTGCTTGGCCTTTTTCAGGATTCTGTGTTCTAGTGAATGTAAGTGACCATTACAACAACAGGATGTATTAGTTCTCCAAACATTACAGTAACATTCATAAATATGCTATAAATAATGAATATTACATATATATATAACATATATATAAGCAACCATAAATATGCATAAAACATAAGAATCCTCATAGAAACATAAAAATCATAAATATATATAAATTCAGAAAATCATGACTACATTTATTTATAAGGCTATATGTATGTATACTCAACACTGCTTTAAAGCCTTGTGGGGCAAATAAATGTTGCACTTAAAATACTGCCCCAAATGTGCAGTATTACTGATTAAGTGAGAAAAGATCACCTGTCTGTCCCAAGCCCCAGAGCAAGCAACAAACCAGCCCCCTGTCTTTATGGCATTAATTTCCCCGGACTATAGTGCAAAACCCAGTGGAATTGGTAAGCTCTGAAACAAGCCACAACCTAAGGTTTCCTGATTCGAGGGTGGGGAGGGGAAGAGCAGTACATGGCTCTTGACTGTCACATAGCTAAAAGTGGATGAGCGGTGACCAGCAGGACAGTGCTAGGCGCAGGGACAGGAGTGGTCTCGTGGGAGGTTATGCTGCCTGCCTGTACTTAGCAAAGCTTAGATTGTTTCACTGCTGTCTTCACACTTCAGTGTGAAATCCTGACATTTGCTAACAGGCATTTAGCTTTGGTAACTTGCTGGGGGCAGGGGGGCTCTATTTGGACAAAACTTCGCACAAGATCACCTGGCTGGAGGCTTCCTGCTTCTCCAGGGCTGGCCTTTCACCTGTAGTACAGAGAGGGAGAAGGGACCATTTAAATGCAATGCCGTGGAGACACAAGCTCCTTAAAAAGCACTTTGACTTAATCCAAACACGTCAGAGTGGCGTGGAAACTTAAAAAGGACATTTCTAAGCCAAGGTTAAAATTTTTATCTGAAACCAATAGTTTTTGTAGGAACCAAAGTAAATATTAAATATTTCAAAGACTCTTTTGTAAAGCTTTTCCGTTACACACCTCTACCATCCTTCAGCTCTGAAGCCATGAAACAGGAAAAATCCATGGATTTGGAGCCCTATAGACAAGCACTCTTAAGCTGCTGGTGTCAGCACTGACCCTGCAGGTTTCATGTGGCTGATCTTGTTTCTATGAAACAGGGAAAAAGAGCAGCCTTTGCAGGGAGGCTTTACCCCCGAGGTAACGCAGGGCTGCAGCAGCCTGGGGGCGAAGGGAGCTAAAAAGCAGCCTGCTGCAGCAGGCAGCACCCTAACGCAGCAGGCAGCAAAGGCTGCTGCGGGCACCTTGCTTCAGTACATACACACCGGGCGGGACAGTGAGCTGATTAATAGATTACCTTGTCTCGCATGGCACACAGATGAAGTATTTTTTTTGTCCATGAAAAACAAAGCCTGGTTTGGGGGAAGAGCAGAAGGAAGATAGCAACAATAATTAAATTGTATCAATTTATTTCTAGACATTTATGGATTCTACTTGGATTCCGATTTTACATGGGTAAGACAATATTTACCGAGTATTTTCTCTACCAAAGTTATATTTAAAAATCAGTATTTAAAAAACAGTTATTTCCAGAATATGTTACTGTTAGCTAGGCAGACATTGTAAAATTCCTGTTTGGTCTAGATGATGTTAGATATTCACGTGCATACTAGCCAACGAATTTACTAATCCCAAAATAAATCACATTCTTTTCCACTCTAAGTAATTTAAAAAGGATATTTTGAAAGATTACAAAAGTCAAAAGAAACAAAAAGATTTGAGAATCAAGAAAACAGTTAAGAACCTAACAGAAGGCTTTGAGGAAGGTAACTGAAAAGCCAACATGCTGTGCATACTTAAGTCTTTACTAGCTACAACAACTTAACAATCGCAAAAGCATTCCTTCAGTTGCAATGCTGTATTCTAGTACAGTATCTTGTATTGCGATAGCTCATGAGAAATAAAAGCTATCTGGGAAAAGCATTAATAGATGTAGCTTATTAAAGGCCAATCACACTTAAGCTCATCTCTCTTGCCCCAAGCTTTTACGGTCTAGCAATGGAAATTTTTTGTTCATATTTTTCAGAAGTAACAGAGAATTCCAAGAAATGGAAGCTGCTGCTAGTAAAAGAAGAACAGCAGAGCATCACCAGGGTTAATAGCACCTGTTTGAGATCCATGAATGATTACAGAGCTACTTTTCTGTATCGAACTTTCACGTTTCCTCACTAATATGCTGCCTCCCTGGGCCGCAGGCTCAGTGCTGCTAAGAAGGCTCCTTGTCCTGCACGCTGCCTAGGAGAGCCACAGCAACGATGGCGTCAAAGGTTTCCTGCTTGTATGTTCTGACAGTTGTTTGCTGGGCAAGTGCTCTCTGGTACTTAAGCATAACTCGTCCTACTTCTTCCTACACTGGCCACAGACAGTTCAATAGCATATCAATAGCCAGAAAAAACGTCTCCTTTGGCAATATAAGAACTCGACCTATTAATCCACATTCATTTGACTTTCTTATCAATGAACCCGATAAATGTGAGAAGAGTGTCCCTTTCTTGGTCATTCTTATCAGCACAACTCATAAAGAATTTGATGCAAGACAAGCAATTCGAGAAACATGGGGAGATGAGAACAACTTCAAAGGAATTAAAATTGCCACGCTATTTCTGCTCGGAAAAAATGCAGATCCTGTGCTAAATCAAATGGTAGAGCAAGAAAGCCAAATTTTTCATGACATTATCGTGGAGGATTTTATTGACTCTTATCATAATCTCACTCTGAAAACTTTAATGGGGATGAGATGGGTAGCAACATTTTGTTCAAAAGCAAAATATGTTATGAAGACAGACAGTGATATTTTTGTAAACATGGATAATCTTATCTACAAGCTGCTCAAACCCAACACCAAGCCAAGGAGAAGGTACTTCACCGGTTATGTTATAAATGGAGGACCAATAAGAGATGTTCGCAGTAAATGGTACATGCCCAGAGATTTGTATCCTGATAGCAATTACCCACCCTTCTGTTCAGGCACCGGCTACATTTTTTCAGCTGATGTAGCAGAATTAATTTACAAAACCTCCCTTCACACCAGACTTCTTCATCTTGAAGATGTGTATGTAGGACTCTGCCTCCGGAAGCTTGGCATTCACCCCTTCCAGAACAGTGGCTTCAATCACTGGAAGATGGCCTACAGCTTGTGTAGGTATCGCAGAGTGATTACAGTGCATCAGATAACGCCAGAAGAAATGCACAGAATTTGGAATGACATGTCAAGCAAGAAACATCTTAGATGCTAAGATTTTTACAGCTGTAAATACCTTTTTTGGTTTTGCTTTAGTTTGATTATTTTTTGACGGAAAGTGATCTGCTGATTTACAAGTTAAATCTTGAGCTACTACCTGTCAGAAGGTTTTGAACAACTGATTTCTCATTCTTTTTCTGACTACTGGTTTACAGACTTCAAGCTCTTTTCATAAGAACATTTACACCTGTCAAAAGGGTCCAGAGTCAAAGCATAGATTTTGTATAATATCACACACACCAGCTCCTGCATCTGTATGTACAAGAACAGTAATAAACTGTCCTGAGCTACTTAACACTTCATGTCCTGCCCTCTGAGATAAGACTTAGGCCCTAAGAAATGAAGAAATAAAACTATACTTTTATCCCTTTTTGACACCCTACAATCATCCTCTTCTGGAGCTTTATTAATAATTTATGTGAAATAAATTTGCCCTGACCTCATACACCCATCCTGGCAAGGATATTTTAGAATACAGTACGTCCAAAACAGCCTACTGATGGTTCAATAGCAGAATTTAGACAAGTAAGAATATCAAAGAACCAGAGACCCCAGAAACAAGCCCACACTGAAGAATGTTTATTTCCCCCAAACCGCCAATACTTCTGAATTACTTTGGAAAATATTCTATTTTGTCCCACTGTTAGCCCAAAGTTGCCACTAAAACAGCCCATACAGTTTTAAAATGAAATATAATCTGTGGGTAAAATATGAGTCATATGAGATGTGTGAAACAAACTATCTTAAATATACACTATAAAAGCATTACTATATTTTAACTTTTAATTTAAAATTGCAACACTTGTCGTAAGTACTGGCGTACATGGAAAAACCCACAGTACTTTGATAACATTATTATGTTATCATAATTACATTATGGAGACTCATTTTTAGGAAGCTAAAATTAATAGCCACGCACAGCAATATAAACACACAGCATATCAATAACAAGCAGCATATTCCTTCAATATGAGTCAGCATACTATTTACCTGAAAAACACAACACACAACAACTTTTCTTTAGGATAAGCTCTATTTTTTGCTACTGTGCATATGTAAATGAGATTACTCCAGATTTTTAACAGTGCAGAAGAGCAGAATTTTGTCCAATAAAGGAAAGCAATCAATTTTCCATCAACAGGGTGACATATAGACTTCTGTAACATTTTTGTACAACTTTCACAGCAAAGTAGAGCTTTTAAGAATCACTTATAGCCTTTGTCACAGCTTTGTTTGCAGCTCCCAGGTCACTATCAAGGAATTAAAAAGTCACTGAGGTCCAACTCAAGAAAACATCAAAACTCCAGAGATCCCTAAAGCATGTGATAATAAATCCAAGTACACAAGATTTTATTCAAGTTTCAAAGTGTGCTTACATGTCTTGAGTACAAATGAAAATGTGATGAAAATTATTTTCTGGAAAATTCTTTGGTAAGTGAAAACCATCTCTATTCAGGATAATTTCCTAGCAAAGAACTGAAACGTGACAGTGTTCTGCAGACAACTTGGGATGAAGAATTCACAGACAAACCACAGCGATACAAAATTCACCAAACACTTTACTAGCTGCAGATCACTCACAACGTCCACAGTACACACAAATGTCTCCTTCACTTCAGCTGGAGTTTATGTGTAAAGTATGAAAAGCTGGTAAGACTGTACATCATTCAGGATGTCTATAGAGTTGTTAGAATTTAATGAAAACTCTGAACTGATTTTCCTTTTTCTATTATTTGATATCATACCATAGGTGTACATAGCACTTCACAACAGCAAGAGATGAATCAAGATGCTACCCCAAAAGGTTTGCAGTTTCCTGGCAAACTGTTAGCCTTATTCACAAATGCAGTACTATTGCTTTGAAAAGAACTACTTGTAAATAAGGTAAAGAGTATTTGGCATTCAAGCCACAAACAGTAGAAGTCTTAGACTTAAAGACCTATTTCAGATCTAAAGGTGAAGCTACACAGTAGCTAGCCTAGAAGTTACTGCTAATCAGCAGGAGTTTATACAAATAACAATCAGAGATTTTACATAAAAATACTGCATCTCTTACAGTATAATGAAGATTTATCCTTCCCCGTTGACCTAGTTCTCATTAAAGTTGCTCTTGCTTCCTGTCAAACTCAGAACTCCAGCAAAACAAGGTCCAATTAACTGCACATATAAATTTATGTATATGATATATATTATAAATATATATATACATACACATACATCAGGTGAAATTCAGCCTTCCATACCCAGGCCACCGTACATGCAGTTTATGAAGTGAAACTAGGGTGGAATTCTTCCCCAGCCCATAGGTAAGTCACATTAAACAGATGCAGTCCTACCATGGACCTGCTCTGTAGTAACTTCAAACAAGAGACTGCAATCACTTCTGCTGTCCCTCCACACTGTGCAGTAATTAGGGTTTCTGAATCCACACCTGAACGGATGTGGTGATCTTACTTTCCTCATCGACACTTCTGTGGCCTTTAGTTAGAAACTAAGAGGACAGTAAGGCTCCCAATCCCGGTCCCTCAGGGCTCAAGTGGTACCACAGCCTTGAATTTCCCCTAGTATGAGGAGATTGCATTAATGAACGGAAGGTACATCTTGAAAATATTATCTGAAAAAATGTATTTCCTGTCAGTTATAAATAGGTAGATTGTCAACACAAATGTAAATGTTCATCTTGGAACATATGTATATATATTTCCAAGGCATTTTCTTCTGTATTCAGCTGTATATATGTGTAGAGTCTGCTTGTCACGTAGTATTTTGTTATGCATGGAGCTGAGTTAGACATTATATTTGTCCAGTGTTTCAAGAGCCTTAAGCATGTGTGCCCTAACTTTTGAATGTACAAGACTTTTTTTTTTTTAAATGTCAAGTGAATTTAAAAAACAAAACCACAACAATGAAAGCCTAATTTTCTACTTCTATTATTTTTCTGAATCTATTACTTAACTAGCTTGTTACAAATATAAAACAGATTTATTATTTTCCCTTCACTCAAAAATTTCAGTATTGCAACTTAGAGTTAGAAAGGGAGCAATACATCTCACAGGGACTGCTTACAGGCCCTTTCACTCAGTGTGTGTGTGCCATGCTTGGTACTGTTCAGTAAGAACAGTGTTTGTATTGGGCTTCCTTTAATCAGAAGGAATACTTGTGTTATTTAAAGGTCATTTGGTTTCATTGTGCATGGGGCAAATGACTTGGTTAAGATGTGCTGGCTTTTCATCACTTCCAACAAAATGTGAATATAACTGAATCTCAAAGTGTACATGAACAAAAGCACACAGAACTGTGAAGCTACGGGGGGAAAATCCCTCCTTTTTGGAGGATTTTTTTCACAATAGCATTTTTTTGCTAAATCTTTGGAAATATTTAAACAGAAGACTCAAGAATCATTTTCCATCTTTCTTAATAAGGTTGAGTATCAATTTTTATTTTTAGGGGGATTTTTTTGTTTTTATAACATAGGTGGCAATGGCAATTTGTAAATGAAGAGTGTAATTAACTAGAAAAACTTGTTGACAGTAACCAAACTCTAGGTGTATCATTATATGACTGGCTGTACTTATGTATTTATTTGTCTAAATTGTATATATTGTTTTATCTATAGTGTCTGTAGAAGTGCATTCTTTTAGATTAAAGTATTATTTACAGTTTTGTGGGATTGCCAGCAAAGCTGCTAATCAAGATACTATTTTTTGTATCAATGTTAAATAATAAAAAAGAATGAAATCAAATGAAAAACTGAAGGTGTCATGTACAGTTTTATTCACCTCTAGAAATGTAAATGGAAAGCATGATACCAATGAATAGGATCATTTGTCACAGGGAAGAGTATTGTCCTGTAAAAGCAGATTTTTTTTTTAATCGCTGGCAAAAAATAAAGAAGAAAATATTGTATCTATTCATTATTTGTGTAATAGTTTAATCAACCTGATGCTCACTTCATTTGGCTCCCAATACTTAATCTCAAGTAGTGATGGCAATACCTAGCAAGAGATGGGTTTATCACACTGCTTTGGCAGCCACGGCCAGTGACAGAGAAGTTGAGCAGTTCTAGTAAAATGATTGCTGCTCTACAGTACTTCACATGTGTGCCTGAAGCCAGCCAAATGCTATACCTGGAAAGAAAAGGAAAAACTGCAAACGCCCCCGACACTGCATCTCAGTGAAAACCTTGCTCTGGGGCCTCCAGGTGACTGCCAGGGCATAGCCCTGGACAAGGGCACAGTCCCCTTGTTTTACCTGCCTGTTCCTCGGTCTCTTGCACGGTTGCCCGCTGACACAGCACCTTGCGCTTCTGAAAGCTCCAAAAAAGCACCAGGAAATAGAGGAGGTGATGTTTTGTCTTGAGGAAGCACAATCTCAATAATCCCAGATATGTGGTGATCTAATGTCATATTTGGCTCCTAGTATGAATATACTGAGAGCATACATTTTGTCAGGTGCAAAGACTTGGATAACCTTAAAGTTTTCAAATCAAAAGAAAATTGAAAATAAGGAAACAAAAACCCCAAACAAAGTCTCTCTTATTCTAAGCAAATACCCAGAATAATGCCTCTCTCTCCACTCTGCTCCTTGTAATTTCCTATTTAGAAATAAATATCTACCTCTCCCCACTGACTACTGGCTTTAGACCTCAGTAACCTGAGTTCATTCACAAAACTGAAGAGAGAATAAAACACCCAAGAGGATAAATACTGCTTTTGCAAACCGAAGTGTAATTTGCCTCGTGTCACTGGTCTCGGAGGCAGCTGAAGGCTGCTGCTGAGTCCTCGGGCACTCTGGAAGCATCTGCAGCAACACCACCGCCTTACCGGTTATAACGAGCTTGTTCAAAGCAACTAAGAGTTCCACATGCAGTAAAAGCCTCGGATCACTTTCAGACTTCTCTTGCCTTCGCCACAGCAGCCTGGGTCTAATTGTAACACTTACATGGTGTTTAATTAATACACAGCTTGGAGATATATGGATATTAGCACTAGTAGAGTGGATTTCATGTAGCTTGATTATCTTAATTACAAGCTTTCTATTTTCTCATTTACTTAATTGATTGTCATAGATTTCTAAGGAAATCTGCACTGCCCTAAGTGAAAACAGCACATCATTGGAAAAAAAAAATTCTTAACTGCTGAAGCTGGCTTATTGCAAAAGCACTGTGCCAGAAAAGATCTATACGACATGAAACACCGTATTCAGCAATATTTGCTTACCTTTCCCTTGTTAAAAACAAGAATTTATGAAATGGAAGAAGAGTCATCTGGAAAAAAAATAAATGTGTATGCCTTATTGACTCACCTGCACCCACAACAGTTATCCCAAGTACTTCCTCTGATGACATGCTAACACAGGAAAAAAGAACCATTTTGCTGCTAGGTCAATTCGTTATTGGTCCTACACTATACCTCTGCCTTACTAGAAAAAGCTAAGGAGAGCAAGAGGTGATTTATTCTTCACACAAGATTTATCCTGGAGTGCTTATTCTGCAAAGGCAGCGTTACATATCAAGTTCGGCTAAACTACGCATAATGGTTTTAAGATGCAGGCAATTTTTATTTGAGGAAAGCTGGTATCACAAGCTTGAGTTGTGCTAAGCAACACCAACCATATTTGCAGCTAAACTGCGACTATTGAGAATAGTTCCAGTCCCAAGGCCCCTTTTTCCTCGAAGAGTTCCCTTCCCTTGGGCCCATGTTCTGGCATGACCTCTTTCCTCTGTGACTGCTGGAGACAGCAGACCTCTCTCAGTCAGGCCCATCAGCAGAGGAACAGAAGCCAAGGGGAAGCAAAAAGCTCCCTACAGCATCACTGTGGAAGTGCTAGCATTCCCAGAGCACAAAATAAATTAGCATGACATCCACCCTCTTGGTAACAAGCACTGTGGTGACTACAATGAAAGAAGCCACAGCTAGAACCTAAACTTTTCCATCTGGATGGATTAACCATTGGGCTCAAGCGTATCATTGCATCAATTCATGCTTAGCGTAAGAGATTTATAGGAACATCTCAAAAGGAAAGCAGTGCAATCAAAGGATAGAAAGAGCAGAAGAGGATAAAACATTTCAAAACCTTTGATTATTTATTCAATTCCATAAATCCTCTTCAGAAAGATATTTCATCAGTTATCCAAGATATTCATCATCCATCAAATTTTATTCTCATGTGTATATTCAGACATAATGAAGTAAAACACTGGCCTCCATTATCTGCTATCCTACAGATTACCTTTGGATTGAGCTGCATGAAGCATATTCAGACTTGATTTAAATCACAATCCTATTCTCACCAGTTTTAGTGGGATTTATTTCTGTTTGTAATGGGCTGAATTTGATTCTAGTCTAACTTAGCTCTTACTCCCACTATCAGTGAACTGGGGTATCATGAAGGTTTCTGGGTAAGAACACGGTGTATTTCAGGGGGCACTTCACTTGCAAGAAACTCTTACCAAAAGCAGGCAGGAAGATGAAGCAAGTAGCACTCTCTGATTTCCAATTAAACCTACTCCTAATGAAGAAACAGCAGAACACGAGATGTACGAGTTTGAAATCAGTGCAATGAAAGGTAGGTGGTGTACACCACTTCCTCAACAGAAGAGGGTTCTCTAGTGAGTTATCCATTGACCACCTGGCACACTGCCAGTTCAGAATGTTACATTCTGCTCAGAAAACCTCTTTGGCAGCATTAACACATACATGCCACTGGTGATGCAGGATCCCCATAAGGCCATATCTGTTTCTTGAAATCACTCATTTTTCAGTTCTTACTCTCCTACTTCTGTAGTCTTTACAGTGGAGGAAAAAATGTAGTACGAAGATGTCTTTTCTAAAATTTACTCATGTGGAAAAATCCCAACAATATCTTTATTTTAGGATCATTTTCTTCTCCCCCCCTGCTTTTTTTTTTTCTTTTTCTCTCCTATTCATAAAAGGAAAGAATAGGAAAGTATGGATGGTCTTTTCAAGTTGGCTTCAGGCCTTGGCTGTTGTCCCTGCAGTTCTCTCCTATTCATCAAATGAGCCACTACACTTAACTCAGTGCAAACCCTTCTGGCTGTAACTTACTACTTCGAATCTCTACTCTCAATCTCCTGGCCTTTTTTTTTGTACACTCAGCTAGCATTTAGTTTACTGTAGTTCTAGCATCCCAGTAGATCTTTTGCCAAGCTCACATTTCTTTACACTGTACATTACATGACCTGACCTGACATGGACATGACCTGGACCTGGACATGACCTGGTGCCAAGCTCACATTTCTTTACACTGTAAAGAACATTACATGTAATGTAATGTAATGTACATGTAATGTAATGTAATGACATGTACATTACAATTGGCCATTTTCACCCAGCAAATTTCAGTCATCAGCAAGTCCATCACCCGTGGCTTAGTCCTCAAGAGATTCTTCCTCCTTGACTATCTCATCTGCCTTCTGCCAGAAAGGCCTAAAAAGTCATCCTATTCTTTTCCCTTCATGACTGCTTACTTTTACATTATTAGTTTTAACAGAAATGAGATAACAGAGTTTGGTAGTCCCAGGTTAAACCCTGTGCCACATAGATGTCATATCTCAAATTTCTTCTACTTCCTTCCTTTCCCATCCCTTCCTCTATTTTTCTTTTTGATTCATACTCTCTCTCTCTTCAGCGTCAAGTCTATTCTGCTACACTTTTGATCTGTGCTGCTTTTATTTCCTTCATGCTTTCCACTCTTCTAATCTGTATTAAAACATCAGAGTGTTCTCCCATACAACATACCCATCCAGAATAGACACAAAAGAACACTGGCATTGGCTTTTACCAAGAGGATGGTTCCTACCTGAAGGATTTACAGTCTGCAACATCCAACACCTGGCAGAATAAATTCAGCAAGCTTCAGAGGACTAATGGCTCTACACATCATACAGCAGGGTATAAAATTACATCCTTCCTTTGTCACTGGCTGGTCTAGTTTTAGGTGACCTTGTCATACTCGGACATCCAACACTGATCCTGTTGCACATGCTCTTGCATGCAGGCTAAGCACAGTGGTACTTCTGTCCTTTCTGAGCTATTAATGACTGGCTTATTGAACTGGTTTTACCAGACAGGACAAGTTGTCTTACCGCATTTAAAACAGAAAACTTCTGCCAGCATCTGGAACAGACAGTAATCCCCACATGGATAGAGGAGCCAGAGTCACGGCAGGGGACAACATGAGAGACAACTAGGTGCATTGAAGCAACTGTGTTTTTGTTTGTTAACTTCCAACTTTGTCAAGTTTGAGCTGCTGGGCAAATTATGAAGTATTACCATCTTTCCGAAGTACAGGGATGAGACTGACTTTGTACTTCCTAAGCACTATTCTATTCTAAGCAAGCATGGTATTTCTGTACATTGGATAACTGCTGAGCTAATGCCAAGGTTAATGATAGGCTGCTTTAATTGGTCAATAAAGGCCAATATTGTTTACTGTTTTGTTCCTCAGATTCAGCATTTCTATACATAGGGATAAAACTAATGGACTAAAACTAAATAACATATACCACATATAATTAAAATTACATATTTTTAATAGAAGCGCCTACATACAGTGCAAGTATGGCACATTTGCAGAAGTGCCAGTTATAGGAAGAATACACTTCAATTTGCATAATACTTCAATTAGCTGTTACTTCGGACAGATGGGTGAATCATGGAACATTTTCAACTGATTTAATTACTTGTAAAAGTATTGGTTTGTGTCAGTTAGGCAAAATAAATTACATAATGGCTTACAGATCCCTCTAAAGGGGCATTAGAACATA